TAACAGTTGAAAACTGTGATAGTCTTGCGTACAGACAGACATATTTGTGATGAAAATATCTCATCACGTTGATAGAGTCAGTTGATTTGTTCCTTCGACTTTGTAGGGGCCAGTAATTTGTCGTATTATGATGACCATTTCACAGTATCAATGATAGAACGTCCATTAATTGTGCAACTTACAGAGTTATATTTTTTTCATTTTGGATTTCCACAAACTTCTGCATAACTCCACACATATGTGAAGTCCTGCTGGCGAATTAACAGAAGTGGTTTTACTGGGGGTAATGTGGCAGTCAGGTTGTGAAACAAAGTCTAAACGATTCTTGGCTGTTCGAAGGCGGACTCAGCGCATTTGTGCTGACAATTTCGTCGCCTGCAAGTCTTGAACTCATTGGATACACCTTTGGGAAGAGCGTGTGCAGCGCTGCCACATGTCGGCTACGTCCACAGGGGACACAGGGAACTTGTAATCACGGGTGCCTACGATGAATGGAAGATAAATACTCATTATGACGGAGTATACATTCAAATAAAACTGTGTTCTTATTTATATGCTGATATAGTGTTCTGTTTTATTTTCTTAAAAACAAAATCAGAAACACTTTATACTGAAGAAGTTTCTTCTAAAAGATGCTTTGGTCATTAATATGATCCTGAACCAATATCATGAAGAACACGTGCTCAATGTAAATATATGGTAATGTTGTTTCACACATGCCATTATAGTGGAATATATATGTTACTGCGCAACGAAAATAATGCCAGCACACGAGTACCAGGAAACAGAAAAAACCCGATAATACGACTGCTAGCGGGATAAAAAACACATCGCTGATGATGACTATTATGGTAAACACTTCCTCGCTTCCGTAATCTCACATCTCGCTAATAGAGTTTAGCGACTTGGATTCCGCAATGCACAATAACAATGTTGCATCATATTAATCATATTTCCACGATAGCCTTAAAATGGATATAAAAAACACTTCAAAGGTCAATGTTTAAATGGTTGATGTACACCGTGCATTACAAATTACAAGATTTAAGTTTACAAGTTGTATGTGCTGTGACCATCCAGACCACAGTATGGCCTCCTTCTCCTCCAAACGTACCAAACATTTCTGGTATACCGTACATACGGCCTAGCCCATTTCAGCTGACTTGGTTGCACACGCCTCGGCGAGTAATAATTCCACGCGTCCACGTATTCTGTTTTGGTCGGCTTGTATCACATCCACTTTGCGGCTATATCGGAACCAGTCCCTTGCAGAAACAGAATCCAATACAATAATAAAATGTTTGTATGCGGAACTAAGGTACAGAGGCATAGTTGCGAATAGAACAATTTCTCACTGATCTATAAGGATCAACCACACACTGTGTTTATATCCATTCTACCATGTCAAAGTTACGCGAACTCTGTATCCCTAAAACAAAGCTTCTTTGCACAAACATGTTTTGTTCACATCATGTTAAAACCTCACTTACCAAATTATGGCGGGCGCCGAGCGTGTGCATCAATGCAACGAAGACGAGCAACAAAAACCTGAGCAAACCTTGCAATGTTTCGTTCTTGCACCGCGGCTAACTATTGACGTGATACAAACTCATTATGGCTTGCCAGAAAATATAACGTGATATTTGGCTATAGCAAACTGATAGATTCCACGATTCTCTGTGGTTTAAGAAACTGCCATATATGTTGCATCCACACATAAATGTTCTATTATTTTCCAATGTGCCCGCTTACAAGGGAATGGCAGTTTCTATGTACCCTGCTGGGAATGCAGCATTACTCATCTGGTGCTTCAGCGTGAAGTAATTTCTTTCTCAGCGAATAGCATTGCGGTCATGCAATATGAATATTGTACGGAAATTACCGATGTTTTGCGATAGCCGTAGATCAAGGGGAGATAGCGCTAATAAATTAGTTTTCTCTGGTCGCAGCATTCATACTATGATCCGATACCCGTGCTTCTAACAGTTCAAAATACTTAACTGAAGTGTTGACCGATTAAGATAAACACTTTGTTCACTGGTACCTAGGGGCCCATGGGTTGATGTACCTCGATGTTTCTTTATGTTCCCCTCGCCCTTCGGGCTCGAGAGACATAAACAAAAATGTGGTGATCTGGCAAACGCTACGATATTAATTTACGAATGGAATGTACGCGGATCGCACTTTGTAGTATTTAGGCCAAAATCTAAAATATGGTAGACCCTGATTCAGGCAGGTAATACTTGCAGTGGCTTCCACGGGCATTTGGCAATAAGCTATCTCGGGCACCTTCCGTCTCCAGGCGCGAAGCAAGCCAATTTATTTCGGTATGGCCCCGATGGGTTGCGGCTTTATATTTGGGCGTATTCGGGACTTGTTCAACCTTATTAGCAACAATCGTAGTATGAAGCGCACAGGCTTCTTTTGTAGTAGCTACGTCACTGGTCTCGGGTAATAGCCTTCAGCGCAGGGTTGGCGACCCACAATCACCACACAAACATCGAGGGGTACATCAGCCCATGTCCCCCTCGAGACCAGTGAACAATAACTTACAATGTATTTACGATAGCGGTCAGGTATCATCTTCTTTTCTGTTTACGAAAAGTACTTTTCTGAATATTGTGTCCGCGGGTATGTGGCCTATAAAGAGGTGTAACTGTGATTTGAAATCTCTCACTGACCACTCAGAATCCGTGATTTCTCAGAAATTCCTGGTACGGTGGCGTTTACGGCATTATGTACCAAGCTATTATCACAGATGCAGGGCTTCACGTCTAGAGAGAGATTGAATAAGTTTAGCGGTGTTTCCCGACGCGTGCTTCCAGTTATATCACGTGTGTCGAAAAGCTGCTGAACTAAACAGATTACACAAAGGAGTATTTCACAACCTCCCCAGATTCATACTTACTTCTTCATATCTATGTCATGCACTAATCAGCAGCCATTACAGGTATTTACCTAAATATCACTAGATACGCTTAGTGTAATAATAGGTAATCCAGTGAATCATAAGTACGCACTGGGTTCGAATTAATCAAATGATTTCTTGGGTGAATACATGATGTTGTATGATTTACGTTAGAATACTTTGTACATACCTTTCAAATTCATCAAGGAAAAATTTATTGCATTTGTGTTTTGTAAATCTTTTAAATAAGTCTATCTGAGAAAGCAATGCCACCTTCCTTCATGGATCTCACCATCTTTCTATCCTCTGTAATGAGTAAGGTAGTTATCAGTACTTCAGGCTTGTGCCTTAAACGGTTTGTTTGTGGCATGCGTTTCCAGGAGACTCTAAGGAGGAAGATATTCAGGAAGAGATTTGCTTTTGTTGTCGCGACACGTCGCTTGGCAGCATGGTTGCACCCTAGACACGGAGTTATGACATCACCGCACTGTTAGCAATAACGGCTTAACGCGTTTGTTTGTTTGTTGTTTTAACGCCGCACTCCAGTAATGTCAGCTAGCTATGACAGCGGTCTGTAAATGAAATCGAGTGTGGACCAGACAATCCGGTGCTTGACACAATAGGCATAAATCCACTTGAATTGGGATACGAGTGATACGTATCATCACCAGAGTGAGCCCGGAGTCTGACACCCGATCCCGTTAGTGCATAGGCATGACTTCTTAATGAGGATTCGGGCGGTACAGTTCCCTAGTGGATTTATAGTTCGCTCGTGACACCGAAGACCCTGGTTCGATTCCCCATGTAAGGTACAATATGTCCCCGCCATTGATATCGCTGAAATATTGCTAAAAGCGGCAAACTAAACTCACTCGCTCCTCTGCCGAATGACGTGGGTGGTGGGCATTGAATAGCTATTGGGTACAGCAGGATATCGATTCCAGTTGATCTTCAGTCATAAACTAGCCAAACCAGCTCTTCGCATGCTTATTACGTTCTGTGGACTAACCCAGGGACGTTTTGAATTATGCATGTTTAGAGACATATGAACCCGAAAGTGTGTGTTTTTGCGCATAGCAGATTCATGTTCCTGAAGTGATCCATATTGCGAAATTGTTTTGATATGGTTTTCTTACTTGGTTTGAATTAGGGCTTGCAGAACATGAGCACAAATTTTCCCCTGCCGTTTCATCTGTGTGAAATTTTCCATCTAAGATACCTACTGCATGGTATCAATAACACCGTTTTCCAGTCCCAGCGTCCATTCCTGGTACATCGTGGGACACCTACATGATAACTCAGATATAGATGTTACCTATTATTATTAGTATTATTATTATAGGATGTTTGTATAGCATGTATACCTACATTACCCATTTCACGAGCTGTAATGATATGTAGAAACATGATATATAAGAACACCTTCATCTTGATATGATGAAGTATAAAGGTATGACCAAGAAATTATTGAAATTTTAGGAATATGTTTAATTGGATTCTAGTACAAAGAACCTTGACCAGCTATCAAGCGCTTGGGTTCATTCAAGAGAGACAACTCCGTTAATCATTTTTCATTAGTTTGTGAAGAGTTACCCCTTTTAAAGGGCATCATCATGGTGATTTGACAAAATACTAACTGTTCACCTGTCTTTAAATTTGGAGTTATGTTCTGCTAATATTCATATTTAATACGTGAGTAACGAGTGAAAAAATATAAAAAATTACAATCTTCAAATTCTCAATAATTTCTGGTTGTACTGTAACCTAACACCTATCTATAACAAATGATTTATGTGATCTGACCTTTATGTGATCTTGACATGAGTACAAGCCAGATGACGAATCACATCTTGACATACAGATACTCTAATACAGACACATGAAACAGGATTGTAACGCCTAGAAAATGTTCCACTTCATCAATAACACATCATAAAGTAAGAAACTTTCCTAATGTTCTGGTGACATGCACCTTAAAGGGAAACATACATTGACAATGTAAATAAAGACAACCGTTGAATGTTCCCATATATTCTGCACAATTACTGATGCTTATAAAGAATACTTCTACCTTTCACCGTTTCAATATAATTCAGAAGTAAGAGGCAACAACGTATGGATTGTTGTTCGTGTTAGACACTTCCAGCCACAATATTCTCCTGGAGAATCTGAAAAAAGCTCAACGAATATAATACTGACAATAATATATATATAGCGTGTGTGTCTGAGATGTGTTTGTGTGTGTGTGTGTGTGTCTGTCTCTCTCTGTCTCTATGTATGTATTAGTGTGAGAGAGATAGAGAGAGAGAGAGAGAGAGAGAGAGATTAACCGCCAAAGTATGCGTTTCTTTTTGCGTGCGGCTTGCGGTTTAGGAAATGACTACTAGAGTATTCTCAAAGGCGACAACTACATGACAATGATCTCAATGGATCTACTCTTCTAGAATGGACTTGAATAGAAAGCATTGATTTAGGTACCGGAGTTTCTTTACCCGCATATGGCTCCGTGAATTGCAAAACCAAATGGTTTTAATTTATCATAGCCGTCGATATGGACGAGATAATTGGGTCCTTTGTTAGTGTAGACACGCCTTGATAGTCGATGGCGAGATCTCATCTCCACACCTTCTGGGTCTAACTCACGCTGAAGCTGGAGGACTGTATCTCTGAAAGTTTATTTAAAGATTTCAGGTTTGGGAAGAAGTTATGTTAAATAAAAGAACAATTTCCACCTCATGTATAATATAACCAACACATCTTTACCGCCTCCGTGATGTAGGAGGGTGAACGGTAAGAGGGTTTGATACCCTGGCCGTGCATAAGCGCTTTTGTTCTAAAAGCTAAAAAGTGCGGGCACGTGATACACAAATTAGCTTGGAGCGGTGGTGTAATGCTAAGCATTCATAGCACTTGAGTGTTGGGAGAAAGATAACCTTGGTACGCGCAATACCAAACACCGTTGAGACTAAGACAAGGAGATACAGCTCGTGACAGATTGGACCCTTTCTTTTGACGAAGGACCTCAGGAAGGATGTTGACTATTTTATATCTGTTTCTTTTGATTACGACTCCCAACCAGAATGGCTAAGAGGCCTTTCGCAAGTGTCCATACCTCGTGACTAAGGGCATATAACTACAACATGTATTCAATTTAACCGAAATAATTTGATAATGGTCCCGTTATATTTGGCAAGTTCAGCAGCTTTATATGCCCCAAACAGTTTGTTCTCCGAGCTTTGTTGACTGGTAGCCAAACTGGATTCCAAAGTTTGCAAGTTTATCTTGTACAGTTTTTCTGGTAATGGGGTCAAGAAATCGACCAGCGAAACAAGTATTTTCACGATTTGTGTTGCGAGCCATATTATTCCACTTATGAGTGAATCTTAAAGTCAGATTACTTTGGATTATCCATAAGTTAGGAATAGAAAGGGACGCGTGGGGTAGCCTAGTGGTTAAAGCGTCCGCTCGTCACGCCGAAGACCCAAGTTCGAATCCTACATGGGTACAATGTGTGAAGCCCATGTGTCCCTTGCCGTGATATTGCTCGAATATTGCTAAAAGCGGCGTAAAGCCAAACTCTCCTCACTCTCTCACTAACTCGGAATAGGAAACTCTTCTACGACATTACTTTAATTTCGAACCTTTCAATATTTTTTTTTCATACATGTTATTTCAGTACTTCAGCATAACCCTCCCCTAGAGAGTGCCATATTCACTTATTCCTATAAAGACATTTATGCTATGATTTTGTAATATAAATTCATGGTGATTATCAATAATACCCCTTGTGATGCAGTTTTGTGGAAAGTGTTTTGCATAGATTTAAATATTAGTATAAACAAAATGAGGCAGGTTAACTGGTTTCATTATCTATCTCAAGTTCATGTGGGAAAATCAGTGGAAGGGACATGATCGTTATTAAACGATATCGATATCTGGTAGTTGATGTACCTGAGATTTATGTTTAGCTTCTTGTGCAATATCAAGGTATTCCAAATTCAAGTTTTAACATTTTGCTGCATACCTTGGTACTGATAGGCCATACGACGACTGCAGCCGCGACCGCATTGACCTACATCCGAGATAGGCACCACTGCCATTTAGTTCTTCCTGCAACGATGAAAAAGTAACTGTAAAACGGTGTACTTGATGTGACAACACTGATAAAAAATATTGTTTCTTAATTAGTTTAGTTTTATAATATTTCAAATAGAAACTTGAATGCGGAACCCACATGGATACATTTACCTGTGTCTTACTGATTTCAGGACCGTTAACACGACTGCGTGCGACCTTTATACCATGTTTCATTCACATTGTGAAAACAGATGATATAGTATCATAATGTAAAGAAATAATTATGCAATGTATGAATAGAATCTTGGCGGTACATGTACCTGTACTGCTCGCCGGACCACTTGGATATTTGAAGCACCACGACGACGTAAATTCATTCTTCTTAACAGTCGCTTCAGTTGACGAATACTGTGAGGAATGATACTTATTTTTCATAACTGTCATTTACTTACAATATGCAACAATGCAATCAGTAACTGTTTACAACATGACATACAATACCATGGAACGCAATTTAATTGAAGATATGTAAAAACAGCGAATAAAAATATACCTCAATTGTAGATGAAATATGAACAAGGAAAAGTGATGGTTCAATTTGGTTGATACCAATATTGAAACACTCACCTAATATTGTACATAACTGTTTGTTACTACAGATATGCACAAAAATATCAAAGGGAATGTAACACAACATATGTAATAATTCATGTAACATTTATGAATATCGTTGCTTTTTAAATATTCATGATATGTTTATATGCAGATATTTCTGCTTACACTTTATATTATTAACTGGATGACATTCGTAAGGAATACGAACCCGATGGAGAAACTGTGTCTTACATCTAGAACTATGCGTATCTTTTCATAGCTCAATCCATTAAAAAGTATTGACGAATTAAATCATCTCCTGAAAGCCGTTAAGTGAAGCAGACTGCGAGAGAAGAAAACATAAGATGGGTTATACTGGTTAAGTATACCATGATATCATGGACTTACCAGATGATTTGAAGCGAATCAGTAAAGCGTCACACATTTTGAAAACTAGATTCATTTATATTTTCATGGTTATATTCCATTAAAACATATTTTATGATAATAACATATGCTGGAATAAAAGATGGTTCTACCTCAGTTGTGTCGCATCTACCGACTATAAAGTTCTAAGGCTTAACATGTCTGCTTTATCTTCACTGTGGCTGATTGTGTGTGAGAAAAAGGATACTACTTGTAGGTGGAGCTCCACTTGAACCCAAAGTAGCCATTTGCAGCAACCTACGTGAAAAGAGCATGATACAGAGATAGAACATAAATAACTTCTAATGTTATATGCGTGAAAGCACAAATGTAAACCAAAAGTCTCTGCGTTCTTTAATGTGGTTTGTTGAAAACATGATCGAATGGTACTAGTATTCGATTCCCCTGAAATTGCAAGACTATTCGCTGCGTATAATAGTACAAATATAGCACACAATAATTATTATTGTATTGTAGCGTAGTAAGCAATGATGGGGTGATTAAAATCATATTGTGACGTTAAGTTGGAATAACGTCACAAATGAGCAGTTCAAGACGCTACCATGGGAACCAGCTGAAACGGCCAGCTGAGGACACTTCACCGTACCGTACTCGCTGTGCCATGTGGGCCTTTTGGTTTACTTTGTGTTTACAATGTTGATAATTCTAAGATGAAAAAATCAAAGGCGTCGACAGTACTTTATAAGACGATAATGTGCGCTGTTTTCATTACGTCACAATGTATTAATAGCGTCACTGCGCAATTCTAGTACTCGTATGCCCCTCGTAATAGAACACTTCTGCATTACATCACAATGTAACCGACGTCACGATGCAGGTGAGTTGTCATCGCCTCGTACAGCCTCCTACAGTAAACTACTCCTTTGCATTCCGTTTCTAGGTTTGCAGTTGCTTCACTCAGCTAACATCACTGGTGGAAACATTACGTTTATGTTTTCCGACAGATAACATGTGTCAGTTCGACTCACAATTTTACAGGGATACGGAAACGTTCGCAATGTTTACATTCCCAACATGCAATCGTGGAATGTCAGCAAGCGTCCCTCGTGCTTTAACTATAATAGTTCAGGGCGAAAGTGTGCTTTATTACACTATACATGGTGGTAGAGCGAACTGTATTTCTTAAATATCGTGTGTTGGCCAGATTCCGGGTGTTATTGATTATTTGAAGCACGGGGGTATCATTTGGAACCCACGGCGTTTTAGAGATGGGTGGTTCTTTGTTCAGTTTTGTTGCAAGATCAATGGGTGCAGCAATGCCGTGTGACGTGAGCCTAGCAACAGGTTTTGCTATAGTCATGAGCTACTCCCAGTGGACCCGTGAAGGTCCGGGTTAGAATGAGCCTTCAGTAACCCATGCTTGTAGTAAGAGGCGACTAACGGGATTGGGTGGGTCAGGCTCGCTGGCTTGGTTTACATATGTCATCGGTTCCCAATTGCACAGATCAATGCCATGCTGTTGATCAATGGATTGTCTGGTACAGACTCGATTATTTACACACCGCCGCCATATAGCTGGAATATTGCTGAGTGCGGCGTAAAACTAAACTCACTCACCCAATCACTGCATGTAAATGCAATTAATCCTTTCAATATACTGTCAATAAATACGTTTGTGTTGCGACAAATAGAGATTAAGTAAAATGAAAAGCAGATCCCGGTATGTACATAGTAGCACATTTGCTGACAGGGCTCTTTGGGATACAGAACACGTCCCAAGTAACCTATGCTGGTGGTAATAAGCGACTAAAGGGATCGGGTGGTCTGGCTAGGTTATTTTGTTGAAGGCTTGAAAAGATTTTTTCATATCTGAGAAAGAACGATGACAACACATACCTTATGAAAAGGATTTTGTGCGCCGCTATGGTTAAAGACAAAAAGGACATGCTCCGTGGTGAACTGCCAGAGCGGCCGCCCGAAGAACGGAAGGGTTTGATCCCCGACCAACGTCATACCAAAAGATGTTAAAAGAGAGATGGTCGTTTTACCTTGTACAAACGTTCAGTGCGCTCAGATAGGCTCTACCGTCTGTCAATTCCTCACCACAACTTCACAAGCTTTGGTGATAAGTCGTTCTGTTTACATGCCCCAAGACTCTGGAGTGAGTGAGTGAGTTAAGATTTTAAGTCGCATGGGCAATATTTCAGCCATATCGTGACTAAATCAAGTTATAAATATATTAACAATTGAAGGTAAAGTATAAAAATATTCAATAAAATTCTGTCAGCGAAGGACAGTAAAACAACTAGATTATCACAAATATAAATATAAAACTAGTAATCAAATCTAAAATATTTTAACTATACATGACAATACAATATAAAAACAGGCTATAGATTCCCAACAACTGAAGGTAGATCACCATACTAGGGACCATACTAATCTTGCCAATCACATTGCTGTCAAAAGGGACAGAAAATTCAATGATATAAATAAATTCATTGGCTTTATCAAACAGAACAAGATCAAGTTTGTTAGCTGGATTTCTTCTGAGGCTGTATATGGGCCTATTGCACAGAAGTTTGAAGCATCATTTCCATGACGCCCTGGACATGTTCAGGGTCGTACCATAGATGGACCTCGGAGTCAAAGCCACAGACGTGGCGGAGACGGTAGTAAAAGCAACAAGCTTAATCCATGCCATCATGTGTTTTAAGATATGCTGTTTGTGCCAAAGAAGGGCATCCACTGAGAAGGTGTTGGACAGTGTCAGTAAATTCATTGCACAGTCGGCATTTCATGTTAATATTTTCTTTAAGAATCACATTTTGGCGATTGCGTGTGGGAAGTGACTGGTCCTGAGCAGAAAAAGAAAAGCCCCTCAGTTTCACATTTAAGACCAGCTGACTTCATACAGGCGAAAGAGTCGGTGGGATTGCTATTCTGTTCCACACACTGCATGTACACACGATGCAATGGCTTCTCAGAAAGCCTCTCCACAAAAGACCGACTTTTGGCAGACTTGGTGAAGGACTTCACCTGATTCACTCCCATAGCTGTAACGTCGAGCAGGACATCGCCATCAACAAAATCAACATCAAATTTTAGATTCTGTCCAACAACCTTGGCACGCTTTATTACTATTATTATTTTTATCCTGCCTGGCGCTCGACATTATGGCTATAAAACAAGGACTGGTGGGCTCAGATTCAGTATACTATGTCTGAGTGTGATATTCATATTAAACCTGCGGCATGGTATCTCAGTGAGCTAGCACTATAAAATAATATTAAATAGGCAATAGACCGGACTAGTACCTGCAGGAACACACGTGCCTGCACGTAGCTATAGAAGTGCAATTATCATGTACGCGACGTTCCATCCCATTTCACCTACAGACAAACCGTTGTTTATGGTGTTGTGGCATAAGATGTTAGTAACAATACCTCTGACGTTCAGGCGAATGGATTATGTAAAGCCGCCTACAGTTGGACATGTGCTAAATGTAGAGCTAGAAACAAGATACCTACTGTAGGTGTTCCACTAGTGAATTTTCAACCAGTTCAGATGTATGTGTTCTTTTTAGATTCTTAGTCCTTAAGCACGGTGCATATGTAAATACGCTCACTCAGATAAAATGGCGACTTGTACACGTGTGATGTAAGTATGACGCATGCGCACAATACTTCAAATGATGAAACTTGATTGGATGACTAAAGGGCGAGAAAGTGAGATTGCGACACTTCACAAATGTCGCGATCTCGCGTTCTCGCGTTCTCGTGTTTTCTATGTGCCAATTGCCCATACAGTTCTATGTAACGATTTCTCGTGCTTTTGTGCCAATTGCCCATACAGTTCTATGTAACGATTTTCGAGAACGCGAGATTGCGACATTTGACAAATCTCGCGATCTCGCGTTCTCGTGCTTTTGTGCCAATTGCCCATACAGTTCTATGTAACGATTTTCAAAAACACGAGAACGCGAGATTGCGACATTTGACAAATCTCGCGATCTCGCGTTCTCGCGTTTTTCTGCCAATTGCCCATACAGTTCTATGTAACGATTTTCAAAACACGAGAACGCGAGATTGCGACATTTGACAAATCTCGCGATCTCGCGTTCTCGCGTTTTTCTGCCAATTGCCCATACAGTTCTATGTAACGATTTTCAAAAACACGAGAAAGTGAGATTGCGACATTTGACAAATGTCACGATCTCGCGTTCTCGCGTTCTCGTGCTTTTGTGCCAATTGCCCATACAGTTCTATGTAACGATTTTCAAAAACACGAGAACGCGACAACGCGAGATTGCGACATTTGACAAATCTCGCGATCTCGCGTTCTCGTGCTTTTGTGCCAATTGCCCATACAGTTCTATGTAACGATTTTCAAAAACACGAGAACGCGAGAACGCGAGATTGCGAAACTTGACAAATCTCGCGATCTCGCGATCTCGCGTTTTTCTGCATATTACCTATACAGTCATATTGAACCGGGATGACGGGTAGCTCAGTCGTCTGAGGCGTGGCAATGGAGTTGCGTCCCTTGAGCGTGCCAGAAACCTATGTTGGTGGGTTTCATCCTGTATCGAACTTACAAGCCGTGACATAACTGAAAGATAAATACAGTTGAAAGGCGTGTTAAGCCAAACTCACTCATTTATTCAGAGCAATGCACGTACCCCGGTTGTGAATGGGGGTTTATTTCCAATATTAGCATGCCGAGCTTCTGAAGCTAAGGCCGCAATAAATTTAAACACAAAGTTTGATTAATTTCTATAAAAAACATGGGAGACGGGAAGAATATTAATTTACATTTTTATTTTTTTACTTTGTACAACTACTGTCGAAGGATTCGATTCACATGTATC